TTACAGTACTTGTTTTATGGGGTTGACTCTTTTGCTGAGCATAATGTCTTCCAAATGTGTCCAGGCCCTGAAGTGTCTGTCAGTTCCCTTACTGTTCTTCGAGGATGGATGAGAGTCCACTGTGTGCAGGTACCAACGTGTATCTATCCATTCCCCCAGAGAGGCTCCTTTTGATTGTGCACATCTTTATGCTATCGTGGATAGTGGGGTGAGAGACATGGGTGTACATGAAACTGTGCATGCTTTTTTCATTATTTATTTGGAATCTACATCAAGTAGGGAGATTTCTGGATAATACAGTCTTTATATTCCAATTTGTTCAAGGAAGTATCATGCTTTCTTTCACAGTAGCTGCACAATTCTGTAATTGTACCAGCAATGTAGCTATCTCTCCATATCTTCTGTACCATGGTCATTTTCCATGACAAATTTTGCCAGCATAAGATGGTAACCTGAATCATCTTACATATAAATTATTTCTTTTTAAAATCACTTCCCCTAGAGTAAAACAATCTAAATGGTGGAAAATTGTGTTTTTTTATGATTTACATTTTGAGGCACTTAAAGCGAATTGGCCAATATATGACCATTGACGGCAAAATAAGGGTCCTCGGTGGTGCTGTAGTTTAGACACCAGGGTGTTAACCACAAAGTTAGGGACTACATTTATCTGACAATTAGTCAGAAAAATTACAGTCTAGAAAGCACGACGAAGGTTCAGTATGAGTATACAAGAGGGTATACCCCCCGAAATGGAGGCTCTTTTCAAAGCTATGTATTTAATTTTTTTTTTTCAAATCAACCTTAGCACTTTCAAAGTACTCTTCATTACACTTAATACATTTGTCAAATCTGTGATTCCTTTCTTGGAAACATTTTCCAAGCTCATCTGTTTGGATGGCTGACAGCACCTCCCTCACTTTTGTCTTCACCTCTTCTATGCCATCAAATCACTGTGCTCTTCATTCGCGAATCAAAAGAAGTCACACAGAGTCAGGACAGGTGAGTAAGGTGTGTGGGGCCAGAGAGGCATGCTGCTTTTTGCCCAAACCTGGCACACTGAGAAGGCTGCATGAGTAAGTATGTGTCGTGGTGACAAAACCAGTCTCCTGTCTACCACAAACCAGGCCATTTTTGTCACACACTGTTATGCAATCTTTCTAGAGCCGCTAATAGAAAGCTTGATCAACTGCCTGACCTGGTGGAACCAACTCCAAATGCACTAAGTCCCTCACAAAAACAACAACAAAAGACAAATGAACATGATCTTGATCTTTGATTTCACTTGACAAGCTTCCTTTGGGTGAGGTGACTTGACTGATGTTTGCTTCTGGGGTAGTTAGAATAGCACCATGCCTCATCGCCTTGGAAAAGAAGAAGTCTAGGTCAATTGAGAGCTATTCTCTAAAGGCAAGGTATGTTTCCAGTAGAAGCTCTTATTGCTAGTGATTCAAGACCCGAAGCACACATTTCACAGCAACCTTTCTCAGTCCCAAATCTTCCATTAAAATTTGTTGAACTGAGCTCCAAGATACACCAGAAACTCCCCATCTCTTCAGTGGTCTGATGTCAATCGTTGGGCACAGTGCATGAGTTTTGAGAACATTTTCATCCCTTCGGGACGTTGAGAGTCTAGAATGAGGTTCGTCATCAATCAAAATTTCACATTTTGAACTGCAAAAACCACTTGTACACTTGCGGTTTTCCCATAGTGCTGTCCATGTAAGCTGTGCTCAACATCACAACAGTTTCTGTGGCATTTTTCCCGAGCAGGAAACAAAATTTCCTTGCCACAGCCAGTTCTCTTCAACCAGCCATAAAAAACAAAAAAAAAAATGAGATTCGAGCAAAACTGCTTTCACCGAAAAATTCACTGTGACCAGAGAGAACCTTCCCAGCTGAAACCATTTGGTGCACTAACTCAGAGCGAGTGGCTCAATGTTCACCTAGTGGCGAAAACGCATGCTATGAAAGTTCTGCCAAGTGGAGCTTTTTCCTGATTTTTTTGGGGGGGGTCGGGTGGGATGGGGGGTGGGGGGAACACCTCCTCATAAAGTGACTCAATGGTAGTGTGTTTGGGTTTGGAGAGTCAGAATAGTGTGAACATTTTCTTACATTATGTTCTATTCAAGATTTCCCCTCTATCTTGCTTCCTTGCTATTTGCTAGGACATAAAATCCAGTGGTTTTGAGTTGGCTGTGACTCCTAGTGCCACCAGGTACAACAAAGCAAACCCTACAAGGTCATGCACCACCCTCATAATTGTTACATGCGAGCCCAGTGTTGCAGCTGCTGTATCAATCCATTTAATTGAGAATCTTTCTCTTTTTTCATTGACCCTCTAGTTGAACAAGCAGCATGTCCTTCTGGCAAAAAGGACTTGTCTCTTCTGGCAACATGGCCAAAGTACTTGAGAACTCTTACCATCCTCACTTTAGAGAAGTGTCTCCGTTGAACCTCTTCTAAGAATTTCAGGGGTGGTGTTCTCCTGTCCGTTCATAGTACTTTCAATATTCTCCATCAGTTCCAAACAAAACCAAAAACAGAGTGCCACAGGCTCAGTGCCGATACATAGCGACCCTAGGGGAAAGGGGAGAACTGCCCCCTTGGGGGTTCTGAGACTGTAACTGTTGACAGGAATAAGCAGTCCAGTCTTTCTCCCGTAGAGTCTCATGGTTTCCCACTAGAGAGCTTCAGATCACAGCCCAACACATCACGATATCCCCAGGGCTCCTTCGTCACCAACAGCAGAATGACAATGATCAATTCTTCACATACATAGTATAAACCCCATGGCAGGTCAAGTGCACTTTTGTCCTCAAAGTGATAGCTTTGTTCTTTAACACTTGTACTAGGTCTTGTGCTATTGATTTGCCCAAAGCAATACTTCAATTGATTTTTTTTTACTGCTGCTTCCAAAAATATTGAGTGTAGATCCAAGTACAATGAAGTTCTAGTACTTCAAACGTTCTACTATTTATCACAATCTTTTCTATTGGTTGAGTTGTTAGAACTTTTTCTTTTATTCCCCATCAAGTTGTAATCCATATTAAAGGCCATTTTTTTATATTTATCAGTAAATATTTCAAGTCCTCTGCTTTCAACAAGCTAGATTTTGTCATTTGTATATCATAGGTTGCTAATGAGCCTTCCTCCAATCCTGATGATTTGTTCTTCATCTAATTTATTGGATTCTCAGTTTATAGTGTGAAGAACTCTGGTGAAAGGATACAAACTTGATATGTTTCCTATTTTAAATCATGCAGTATTTTCTAGTGCTGTTTAAATGATTGAAGCTTTATATATGTATTAGTTCTTTTTAAGCAGAATGGAATAGTCTGGAATTCCCCTTCTTTCCCATTTGTTGTAATGGTATGCATGCATTTAGTTCATACATTGAATGTTTGGCTTAGACTATAAAACATAAGTAAACCTCTTTTTGAAATTCTCTGCTTTCCATCAAGGGTCATCTGCGTTATCAAATATATTCATTGTCGTAAATAACTGGAATTGGGCTTTAATAGCTACTGACAACCTTCAGAATAGAGGTATAAAATTCAGTTTTGTGTACGAAAACTTTGAATACTTTAAAGTGCCAGGATCCTTGTTAATTTAGTTATTTTTGGTGGTGTGCAAGCAGAGAGAGGAAAATCTGTTTTTATGTTTTTAAGGAATTTCGTTATTTGTAGTTGCCTTTGAGTCAATTTTCACTCACAGAGTCCCTGGGTGGTGGGGGTGGTTAAGAGCTGGTTAAGGAAACATAGCTGAAGACTGGGAATTGAATCCTCCCAGAGATTCCTCAGGAAACATATGTGGTGATGTACGTCCAGGTAGGTTAGAGCCTTAACAATCAAATAGAGCAGTTCTCTGCCCACACAAGGTGACCATAAATTTGAAATCAATATGTCAATATACATTTGCATATGAAGCTTAGAGAGTGTGAGAGCATCTAGTAGAGAACATGACGAGTTTCCCAAGAGAAACCTGAGGTATTTGAACAAAGGTACGGTGGAGCTAAGGCTGGGAATCCAGAAGCACCCTTAAATCAGGCTTCTATTGTCCACACATTTGTAAGCTAACAACAGAATGAACAACAGAATATTGAGGTGTAGCTTGAAAAGACTCACAATTATAAGTCCTTGATATTATTCTTTTGCTCTTATTTAAGCTTTTTTTTCCATAGTAAAAAAGTTTTTAAAATGACCAATTAGCACACTACCATCAAAAGATACCTGCCTTCTAGGAGACTTTTAGTTGAAACAGTATAGTGAAATATTGTGCTGCTCTTCTTGAAAATACAGGACAGTAAGCCCGATGTCCTGGGTTATAATTTTTGTTGCGCAACGACTTGCACAGACATTGTTTACTTCATGACGGCAAATCATCCATCATCCGCATCACGTCTCAACAATGAAGCCAACTTCCCTGAAGGCTCATTTCCTTTTGGGGAACTATGTTTAATTACTCCAGAAATAAGAATGTTTTTCCTAGGCAAATACTTTAATGGTGTTTTTTTTAACTATCTGTATTTGTGTACTTTCCATGATTAAAATAAAAAGTTTCTCCCCCAAATATGTACATAATAGGTTATAATTTAATTGAATCGAGTCCTATGTATGCTTTCTTTAAAATAGTCATAATCCTAACTACTTATTATAATCATAACCACTAACTTGAGTGATAATCATGATGACCATCTGTCAGTAGGAAATAAAGTACCATGATCTACAAGAAGGCACACATTTCATTGCTCACATTTTAAAATAAGTGCCAATATTTATAACTCTCATTATGGAAAATCACACTTTCAGGAAGTTAAAATTTTCATTCATGAATAGAACTATAAGCAGAGTATAATGCAGGGATATGAAAATTGCTATTCCCAACTTAAAATCATTGTACTTACTTATTGATTTTATGTATATTTAAAACACACAGAATTATATTTGCCCTTTACAGGAACATAGCTGTAAATATAAGTAATTGTATTCCAGTCCTACCTTGGTAAATAGCTTTAAATCCAGGTGAGCCAATGCTGTCATCAGATTGTAGATGTAACCACATCTGGTTGCTCATACTCACAATAAGATCAGGAACACTGGATCCAGTCAGTCTGAAGAGATGAGAAGTGTAAAAATAATTACTCAAAGCAAAAAGTATGTCTATCTTAACTTGATAGTGTTCTAAAAGTTAGTTCTAATTAAGGAACTGTTATAAATATAACAGTGAAGCTAAGAGTCATTATATCTGTGTAATTTTAACAGAGCAGCCTCACCTTTGTGTAAGTAGCAAGGCCCTCTTTCAAAGTTCTACAACCACTTGTAGTCCATATTAACATTTAAACATAACACTTGTTGTCAATGGACAGAAGTGATTCTATTCCATGATTGTGACTGCGTCTCTTTTAGTTGGAAAATCAATTCAGGGCAACCAACCATCCCTGCTGACCTGACACTGCTGGGCTTCTAGGAGTGTGGACAGTCTGTGTGAAAATCGTCTTGGAAAAACGTAGCTGTTTATCATATGGCAAAGGGGTCTATAGTTGCATGCATATAATACAACATCATTCAGGAAAAAGCATCTCTCAGCTAAACAGTGGCACCAGTTCATTATCAAAATGTTCAGAGTCTTTAGTCTGTATATGCCATATTATCTGTACTTCAACATCTCTGTTAAAATATATTTAACCATACATTAAGAGATGAGTACAAAAGAATAGCCTGCTTAGTTTAAATAGGCTTGGCAATAATTTATTAAATGGAAATTTCCCTCTCTATATTAATGTCCAGGTCACACCAGTGGAAGTTTCAGTTTTCAATGAAGCAGTATACAGCAACAAAACAGTTACATCATGGCTCCCGTCAGCTGGTGAAACAGTAAATCCACTGATGGAACGCATCATACTGACAGAACAGCCTGTTGAAATTGAGAAACTGTGAGAAGGAAAAAGGAATCAATTCAACCCAAACAAATGTCTCTAATCAATAGGAAGCTTTGCTTTCAGGAAAATAAACACATGATTTGCTCCATCAGTCATATAATTTGTCTATCAACCTAGTATTTTCTGCTTGGGCAACAGAGAATACCACACTCACCAGCGGAAGATGGACAACAGTTATTATATATGAAGTAAGTCACACACAAATTGAGAAAAAGAAAGTGTTTCAGAGAGTGATGTTCATTACCTAGATATGTATACTTTCTAAAGATCTGTCTCTGCAATGTTTTTAATTTGTTTTCATTTTTCAGTTAAACGTTTTCTTTTTTATTAGAACTAATTAAAATATGACATATTGACAATATGAGCATCACAAATGTCTAGCATCCTGGGTTTCTGCAAAGCGACTCTGCCTGTGAACTACTATGTAGATAAACACATAGACCATGACCAGCCCCCCAGGAGCCTCTCTTGCCAGCTACAAGTCATTACGCGCTTCTCCGCTTCCATTTTCTCACCCATAGATTCGTTTGTGTGTATTTTTTCTTTAATGTCATATTAATTAAATGATCAAGTTCTCTCACTGACAGCGAGCTGATCTTGTGTCACAGAAATGTGCAGTGGTTACCCATTGGACTGCTAACCCTCAACATCAGCAGTTCGAAAGCAATAGGAAGCTTTGCTTGCCAAGCCAAGCCCCGTGGGCGAAAGAGGAGGCTTTCTAGTCTCACCGAGTTACCGTCTCAGAAACCCACAGGGGCAGTTCTATTCTGTCCTATACGGTCAGTAAGGCTTCGAAATAAAATTATGTGGTCCATAATTCTTGTTCTAGAATACATTAAGGAAATTTGCCTATGCTTATAGTTGTGTTCGAATGGCGTGTAGTGGTGGTGTCTGACTTTCTTTGGCTGCAGCAGGGGAAGAGAATCAACACCATCAACATCGTCCGTCAGAGGCTGGTTTCTGTGAGTTGGAGGTAAGATGTGCTTCCGCCCTACACACTCTGCCGTTTCTGACACTAATTCCTCCAACAGCACCCTACCTCCTCTCTGCTGGGATAACAAATGTGCTGCACTGAACACAGAATTCACAGTTTAATAGGATATTAAAAAAAAACTACAATTCAGGCTTAGAAGCATCGAGGATATATTTTGTGTTGTTGTTTTTAGAATCACTACAGTTTCCTGTCAGCCCTGCCCCCTAGGCTTTGAACTTTCAGGTCCTCGGATTCGGTGATGGGATGAAAGTACGCAAATGCGTTTCAGAGGACTCTAATGTGGGGGTTGGTCAATTTGGCCATTCTTCTAAAAGTGACCCAGAATTCCATGACCATGACCATGAAAAAAGAAAAGCCACCAACAGAGTGTGTGCCAGAACCCTGCCTAAAGTGGGAGAGGAACCAGAGGCAGCCGAGCCACAGCACAGAGAACACTTTTTCCCAAAGGTTCTTTTTCTCGATCTAGAGTGCTTAGTTAACTTATGAAGGTCCCCCGTACGTCACAGCTTTTCACTTCCCTAGCTTAGGTTGATAATCATGTTATCAATCTGAGATTTGTCCTTTGAAAGAAAATATTTATACATTCTCTGTATTTTCCTTGTCCTATTTTTTAAAGATGTGTCACAAAGTGCTGCTGTTGTTGGAGGTGCTGTTCCGTCAGCGCTGACTCACAGCAACTAACTGTAATAGCAGGAAACCCTGCCTGGTATGGAGCCACCCTCGCTGCCGTTCTCACGTTTCAGCCCATTGTTGCAGCCACTGCATCACTACATCTTAAGGGCCCACTTCTATTTCACGGTCCCTCTACTTTACCAAGCACGGTGTCTTCTCCAGGCACTGATCTCTGCTAATAACGTGCTCAAAGTAGGTGAGACCTATACTGTTTTTGAATGAGTTTATTTTTATCTGTACTCAGACCGTTGTGTTGGCTGAGTTCTCTAGAGAAGCAAAATTAGTTAGGCTTTGCATACACAGAGTAATAAAGTTCTATCCAGAAATTGTTCCCACAGTGGTAGAAATTAGTAAGCTTACTATGGTTCAAATTTGTGGGTGAGATGTTAAGCTAGGGTTTTTTTCTTGACTTGTGTAGCTGCCAGGATGGACAAACCAGGATGCAAGAAGGCAAACTGGCAAGATAGGGCTGTTGGATGCACAGACAGAGGCATCTAAGGTCAGCAAATCAGAGGGCTCCCGGGGCAAGCAGGCAATATGGGTGGCCATTGGCTCAAGCCTAAGTACCGGAAGCCAAGGAGCCAGATGAAGGATCCAGAACACAGAGAAGCAAGCTAGGTTCCCCACAGCCTCAACTGACATGCGAAGCAGGGCCATACCAGAGGAAAAATCATTATGGTTCTGACAGCACTGGGAGTCCTGTGGGCCACTCTTCTTGGTCTACAGGGCACTATGAACTGGAATCAACTGCACAACTAGAGGGAAATTTTATATATATATATATATATATTTTTTTTTTTTGTTTTGTTTTGTTTTGTTTTAAAATCCTATCTAATCTATATTATAATCTCAGGATTTAAAGATTTGCTTTTAAAATTGTTATAAAATTGTTACAAAGGGCTTAAAGGTTAACAAGCGGCCATCTAGCTCAGAAGCAACAAAGCCCACATGGAAGAAGCACACCGGCCTGTGCGATCACAAGGTGTTGAAGGGATCTGGCATCATCAGAACAAAAAACCTTAGCCAATGAGAGGGGAAGCACGGATTGTAGACCCAAAGCCCATTTTTAGGCCACTGGAGATCCCCTTGCAGAGGGGTCTCAGGGAGGAGACAAGCCAGTCAGGGTGCAATGTAGCAACGATGAAAAATACAACTTTCCTCTAGTTCCTAAATGCTTCCTCCCCCACCCACTATCATGATCCCAATTCTACCTTGCAAGTCTGGCTACACCAGAGGGTGTACACTGGTACAGATAGGAACTGGAAACACAGGGAATCCAGGGCAGATGATCCCTGCAGGACCAGTGGTGAGAGTGGCGATACTGGGAGGGTAGAGGGAGAGTGGGTTGCAAAGGGGAACCGATTACAAGGATCTATATGTGACCTCCTCCCTGGGGCACGGACAACAGAAAAGTGGATGAAAGGAGACATCAGACAGGACAAGATATGACAAAATAATAATTTATAAATTATCAAGGGCTCCTGAGGGAGGGGGGCGGGAGAGGGGGGGAAAAAAGAGGACCTGATGCCGGGGGCTTAAGTGGAGAGGAAATGTTTTGAGAATGATGAGGGCGATGTATGTACAAATATGCTTTACACAATTGATGTATGTATGGATTATGATAAGAGTTGTATCAGCCCCTAATAAAACGATTAAAAAACTAATAAAATAAACTAAAAAAAATTGTTACAAAATCAATCCAATGATTATCTCCAATGAGATTTAAGGTCTTTATTTGTTTTGAGGGGGATCCTGGTTGTTCATTTTCTATCTCAACTAGTGTTTTGTTATTGTCTTTTCTTTGTTCCTATTCACTTTGGATTATTGTTTCTGAAGCTAAAATGGGTTTTATTCATAGCCATTATAAGTAGCTATTATTTATCTTGGAAAAAAATATTGTGAATCTTGAAGCTTAAAATTTAACTTGCACATTCAATTTCCAGTTAGTAATTTGTAGACAAATTGTTCCCTGACAGCAGTGACAATCGTAACAATGTGTCATCAGTCCTTCTTTCTTTCTGGAATTCCTTGCCTCCTTTTCTCCAGTTCCTCTGCCCCTCCCGGCACTCAATGGTTCAGGGTAAATTCCGCCTTTGGGGGGCAGTATTGGTCTTGTCGTAGTGTTAACTGTTTCTAGAGGCACATTCTACACATCCTCTTTCATAATTCATTAGTAGTTGAAAGTTGGTCTCTGGGCATACCTTTAGTTTCAAGCTATAAAAGTGAGGTTACAGTCTAAGGGGTTTTCCCATGGTCTCTGAGACCAGTCAGTAGGGGCTTCTTTGGTCACTTTGGTTGGACATTTTCACTCACTCTACATGGGACTCTGTTTGGATCCTACTCCAAGGGGCACAGAGTGGGGGTGGCAACATCCACCTTCTCTGGTGTCAAGTTAGAGAAGCCCATGGTTCACAATGGTCGCTAGTCTTTTGCACTAATTTTTATTTCAGTTATTATTATTTTTTAATCACAACTTTATAAAATCCCAGAAACTACTCATTGACTA